CTTGGAACATATATATATATATATTCTGCTGTTGGAGCCTCTTAAGAATTAGATTGATTTCATTTTTTACTAGATTGATTTCATTTTTTACTAAATTATTAATCTTACAGATCCAAGATTATGTGAATGCTCTATTCTTATTTATTTATTTATTTATCTTAATTGACCCTCATCCTTGTCAGTCCGCCTCCTGCTGCGATTAACAAGCAGAAGCAGCTGGTGTGGTTGATCTGATTGGTTGGCGAAGGAGTGAGGATTTTTTGTATGTCAACTTGGAGATTATTCCTATTATTTTTTATAAGTAAAGAAAACAACTTCTGAAAACAGAAAAAAAAAAAAAACTCTCCTGGGGTGCTATTTATGTTTGAGTGAGTCAAAAAAGCTTCTACTAAAAACTGCTCTGGCTTTTTTTTTTTTTTCGGGTGGGGGGGTGAACTCATTAGGTTGCAAGAGTAGCCGTAACATGTAGAAAAACTTCAGTGATGATTTGATGAAAAGTAAAGGATTGTGGCAAAGAAGGATGTTTGTTGATGAACTTTTTCAAAAGTGAAGGGATCTGTGTGATCATTAAAAATGTCTGACCCTGAAACTCCGCCTGTGGCTGAGAACATGTTAAACATGGATGCAGTTTGATTCAGGGAAAATGTATTGAACAGGTTATTATTTAGGGAGCACACATATATCATCAATTTCTTTGGCTGAAATAAAATGAGCAATTTTAATCTAGATTAATCTAAATCAATTCCAAGTGGGATTATTCTAGATTACAAAATAAATCTATGCCCACCACTAATATATATAATTATATAAATAATTAAATGAATTGTAAGTATAAAAGAGCTACAGAGGCATTTAGTATTTTCGCCTTTTACAACTAATTAAGTACACAATCTAACAACTCCAAAACCCTCTGGTGATAAAACTTGCAACCAGCACCATCATCAAGCTGTCTTCATCACTAACACGCTGGTGTTTCTTTCACCACCTTTATCTGATCCTAGCTGATTCTAGCTTGTCTATTACAAGACGGCATATACTTTACCTTGAATTTAGCAAATAGTGATGGGTGATGCTGTAGCTGATCTGCTGTGATTCTAGATGTACTGCTTCCACCAGCTTTTCAAAGCTTTGCATGGAGGGTAACTGTCAACCTCCAAGCCATTTTTATCTATCCTCTTGCAGTAGCCAAAATATTCCCATATTGTTGACTTTAAGGCAGTGCGTTCTTCATGGTCTTTGTAAAGGGCTAAAGAGGGAACATTTAGCCATCATACTTCCTGCAGAGCAAGCATATATACGGAGTTGCTTTAAGAGGAATAGTGATGCTGTAGCTACCTAAAACCAGAGGGATCTAACCCCCTTCTCTCAGATCCATCCATCCATACATTTTCCATCATGCTTACCCCAAGCGGGGTCGCGAGGGGTTCTCTCAGATGAGATTAGAATATATATATATAAAAATGATTACACAACAGAAATGGTATGATGGAAAACTGATCTTTTCATACTTTATTATTTTGTGAAACCATTAACCAGCACTATGCTGCAAAAATATGTGAAAACATGCATGAATCTAAATATAGAATTCTATTAAAAAGTAAATTCATTTCAGCAATGAAATTCCTAATCTATACACTAAGGTTGTTGCATAGAGATACAATTCAAGTCTTTTGCTCTGTTCATTTGCTGGTGTTGCATATGGCTGATAAAAACCCAAAATTCAGTTTTATTCAAATCTAGCTGCATAATGGCGGCATACATTTCATTTCAAAATGTGTCATAAAAGATGCTACTGTACATGGCTAAAACAGACTTAGACTTAGGCTTGGGTGATTTAGATTTATATGTAACAAACATTCATATTAATGCACACTTAGTGACACAAGATAGCAAGATACTACTTGTCATTGCGAATGGAGTAAGCCTTTTGCAATATACTTAAATTGTACCTTTTTTGTGTTTTAAGGATGGGTTACAGCTGCTGCATTACAGGAGTTAAGCCTCTTCCAAACATTAGAACACAGTTTTTAGGTTTTCATTAGTTGTTAAGCATAAAATACATCAATCTACACTCTGTATATGGATATTAATGATTTTTTTTTTGTTTTAATTGCTGAAATAAAATAACATTTTAGAGATTAAATGTAAGTACTGAACTTTCTTTGCAGGGAAATCTCTCTGTTTTTGCTCTGAGACATAGCTCTTTCCACTTGCAACATCTGTCTCAGTGTTTCTTTAATCTACTTTACATTAAGCAAGAGATATTGTTGTCCCTTTTGGCATTGTTGAGTTTTTTTTTTTCCAAAGCCCCGGTGTCTTGTTCATCAACATGATGGACAAGATAGAAAAACCAACATCTGGTGGTTATGGATTTAGGTGCAGCACGTTCATTTTGTGGAGTACAGGAAATCTATTGCACTTATTTGATTCATGTTTAATGGCTCAAACCAGCATTTGAAGAGCTCTTTTCTTGCCACTCTTGCCATTTTTGAAATATGAACTTCAAGAATTCGATTAACTCTATGAGCACTCTTACTGAATGTATTAATAAGCAATAAACTCCCCTGCCTCACTGGTAATAAAGTGCAGAATTCTAACCAGAGAACTTTGGGGTTCTGAGTGCAACCTTCACTTTACTTTCATTTGTTGTTTACAAAGACAGCTGACGGCTATAGAAGACCATGTGTCTTTTTTTTTTTTTATAAATGCTCTTTTGACGTTACATTCAAGCTTTGGAAACAAGAAATTCTGTTTAGGGAAATTGGTTTCAATAAACCAAAAAAACATTTTTAAAATGAGGAAGGAGGTTGTCTGGGTCAAATTTATTGTACTCTGTCAAAGACAAGGGCAGTGAGTAAAGAATGATGGTTCAGAGTCAAGTTTTGCAGAGCGGATTGAATTACTATGTTTCATAAAAGTTTAATGGGATTTCAGCAAGACTCATTTATATGGGTTGGTCTGTGCCGGGGTTGCTCTTTTATCACTCTCTCTTCTTGGTACAATCTGAGATATGATTACTAACCCAGGAACTGTAACACAGACAGCCAAGTGGCCATCATGTCTCACAGTTTGGGCTTTGATTAACTTACTGGGCTGCATTAAGGTTTGTTGCACATCCCATTAAGGCAAATAAAGCATTTTAATTCTATTTTTTTATTTTTTAACAGCCTACTAAGGAAGTCTGGTCTTTAAAAATCTTGTTTGTTTTTTGTTTTTTTTACTGATCTAACATTCATTTTAACTGTTTCTGCTACAGTACATTTATAGTCATATCTGAGGGCAAAGGATGCTCTGGGTCTTATTTATGTATGTTGGTCTAAAGAAGTCTTAATACAAAGGATCACCTCTGTCTCAATCGCTAATAACTAAAATGTTTTCAAAAACCTAACTTACTCCTCTTCACAATTATGTGCCACATAATTCTAACATAATCTTAATCAATACTAATAGATTGCAAAGAGTTTGGGTTTGCTATCTTGAGAGGATAAAACAGCCTTTGAATTTTGTCTTTTACCTCCTCAGCTTTCTGCTCCCATGCCAATTTCATCTGGCCAGTTGTAATCTTTTTACCCTAATGGAGCTCTAAGTCTAACCAAAATATCTTCCCCAATATAGTAATTAGTTTCTCAACACAACATCCACATTTGTGATCTAGATTATATGTTTAATTAAAAGCCATTTGCTTTGGCATAAAGAAACAAAACTATTTCCTTTTTCTCAAAATAATGTATTTAGTCAATTTAAAGTGGTTTTTCCTTATACTTCGGTGAGTAGGGGGAGGCTGACTGTAAATATACCCCCCCGCCTTCTTTTCTGTGTCTTGATATACAGCTTAGTTTGATGATAGCCTAAAATTATGGTTGTTGCCATAATGTTTTCACTTGGTATTTGTATATTAAACTTCAGCATTTTTTATTTGATTTTTATTTTTTTACAGTGTCCTTTCTGGTAATGTGGCAAAAAGTATAATTGTCTTGATGCCTAAAAGCCAACCAGCCCAACAGATTTTAATTTCACAAGTGGAGCAGTACATCTATCGCCATACTGTTCTGCTTGATAAATGCATGTAAATAGCTTTATTATACTTTATGCAGGGAGTATTAGATTTATGGACACTGCAATGTAAGTATAACAGGAAAGGAAAAACAGAAAAAAAAGATGAAATGATGAAAGAGGAGATAACGATAACAAATATTCAGTCTGCTTCATCACCTGCAAAGAGATGTAAAAAGAACAGCACAACCAATGGATATAGTATAAGATATTCAATAAAGTAACACCTTGATACTACCGCTGAAGTGTAAGTAGTATTATTTAATCTGACATGTATACTGTGGTAGCTGAAGGTCAGAATATGGCCTTTCTGTATGGAAGTGAATCTCTAAGTACCTGGAATCAAGCACCTGTAGTTGTTTGTGAGAGTGCACTTGTGCGTGTAAAGTTTATCCAAATGAAAAATGCTCAATGGTGATTGTGAGGAGTCAAAGACGCACCCCTACAGAGCACTGAGGTGAGCACTGGGGGACCCAAAGCTCCAGACGCCCAAAGGGAACCCAAGAGCAAAGGCTCGGAGACGGCCTGGAGAAAACCCCCCAGCCACCACAATGCCGGATAAGTGAAACAATGAACAGTGAAACATGATAAAAGTTCAAAAGGTATTGTTTTTGCAAGAAAATTAGCTATTGAGGAAAACCCTTCTTTCAGACCAGAGAAAAAGAAAAAAAAAACTCCAGGAATAGCTGCAAAAAACTTTCTATGTATTTTCAACAACAGCTTAGATGTTGTTCCCCATTACACCTTCGATCCCATACACTCTTTGATAAGAGGGTGGTGAAAACTGTCCCACTTAATTCATCGTGGGGGGAAATACTGATCTCCTCTTTTACAGTGTGTTACCATTGTAAGTGTTTCTATGACTAAAAATAACCAGCTTTTTTAGACCCAGAGTCATCTGAAAGAGATTTAATTCATACATTTCATACACTTTTTTTATAGACAACAGTGTATATGCTGATGAAACATTGCTTTCTTGTGCTGTCTGGTGGTACATTTTTTTTATATACAGCAATTTATTTTCTACCAGACTCCCAGTGTGCTTCATTTACATTCACAGGCTGACATTCAGATTTTCAATCTATTCAAAACAAAGCTGATCTAAATTTGACTGGACTCATTATTATTCTATGAAAACCACATTGTAAACAGAATATAGAGTATAGAGAACAAGTATAGAGTGCATAAATCACACCATAAAGTGGTGCTTCAGATCATCGTAAGAATCACAGATCACTGCCTTTTTTTTAACCAACTCGGTATACTGAGTGGTGTTTTGAATTGTTCATATTTACGAATACTAAATCAGAGATTTTTTACAATAAAACAACACATATGTTACACAGTTCATGCTGTATTTTGTAAAGATAGCAGCATTATGTTTTTATTGAACATTCTTCATAGAATATTAGTCTACAGATAACTGACAGCCATATAGGAGACGGTAAAGCGGTATTTTTGCTCTGCTTAAAAAAAGCATATTAGTGAGGACTTGTATCCTTCACTTTGTTTTCATAGTTTGATTAACTTCTAGTAACTACACAGTACAGGTTTGAAATGGAGAGGCATGACTTTGCTTCTCAGCTCCAATGTTGAATCTTTTTGGTACTGCAGAACATATCAGAGGGATGAAGTCCAGATTTCCAATGACACATGCAATTTCAATTGCAGAAGCTGTTCTATTTGCAAAATCTGAGAGTACATCACTTCTCAAACAGCAGGGGTCTAATATCTAGGGACAAAAACAATAAATTAAATGTATGACTGCACCTTTGCAATCCATAGATATACAGGAAAACAGGGTAGAGAAAATGCCAAGCCCTATTCAGGGCTAAGAGTCTGCATACATCAAAATGAAAATAAAGCCATTTCGCCACACCGCTGCCTGCCTTAATACTGCTGGGCTCATCCTGAAAGATAGCAGCGATTTATAAAATGAAACAAAATTTACTGTGCAATAAACAGGTGTTTTCCAATTACACATTTCTTCTGTTTTTGTTTGTAACTCTTAAATGTTTTTGCTCGACAAACAAGGTTTAATATCAGACAGAGATGACCTGAGTAATTATGAAATAGCTATCACCACTATCCATGTTACACCATGTGAAAAATGAATGGTTATGATAGCTTTTTATCTAAACAAAGCAAATAATTACAGTAGAAACTGGTTTTTGTATATATACAGTATGTATATAAAAGTAATGATAATAGCAGAACTCTGTGAAGAGGTGAACACATTTCAAACCACTGCATATGAGAAATACTGAAAAAATACATTCAAGGAATAATGCTTCTCTGCATTAGCTTGACTACGGTAGATTGTTCCTCTTCTGTTAAGAAGAAAATGACTTCAGGCAAAGTCTGTTAACAGAAAGAAAATAAAAAGCAGCTCAGAATTACACCTTCATGTCAGCTTATTTGTGTGTTTGCTAAAGCAAGCTTACGCTACGATTTGGGCTTTTAAACTACTTTTTGTTCTTGGTCTTTTTAACTTGCGTTTACTCCGCTTTTTGTGGTCCGATTGTTTTACTAATGTTTTTGCTTTCGTTTCTGCTTTTATTTGTCTTCTATTTTATTATCTAATTCATGTAAAGCACTTTGAATTGTCCATGTACTGAATGTTGCTATACAAATAAAATTGCCTTGCTCTCCCCCTTAAGCAACCTAACTCTTTATAAAAGAAAACTGATAGCAATGGCAACAAGACTGAAATATATATATCCAAGAACTAGTATCCATTTATAGCTCAGAAAACATTGAAGCAATTTAGGAAATTGAAAATCGGCTTCTTTGTGTGTCTGCTAAAAGAAACTGCAAAACAGTTTATAGTTTTTGCTCAACATTTTTGGCCCCTTGCAAGCATTCTAACTATTAACAAATTAAAAATCTACTACAGCCAACAAAACTCCCTTTAAGAAGGCTAGTAGATAATTTCACTAAAACATGGCTATGGCGACACCAGAATCATAATGTCCTTTTAGTTGAGTTATTCTGGCAGCCAGCAACAAGAGCAGACCTGCTGCCACTTCCAGGCTGTAGGAGAGCCAGGCCAAGGCTAACGACCAGCCAAAAGAGACCTGAACAAAGGCAAGATTTTCAGGGGGCACAATCCGCTGAATCTCCTCCATGGCCTGATTGGAGTACTTGATGTAGATGCTGACCCCTGACAGGGTGAAAAGACCTGTTAACATGCAAGACACAAAAAGAAAGCTGCATTTGAATAAGATCAGATCAAACCATTTTTAACACATTCTTTTCTTCCTAGAACAGAGAATTTCATACACCGCTTTGATGTGCAATGAATTTTTTCTGCACATGTTTTTATGCTTCATCATTGTGTGCTGTAATCACAGTAATTTATGATATAAAACTGTCCATGCATCAATTTTCTATAGCCAATTTAGACAGAGTGCAGGCGTTTCTGACAGATAGGAGGTGAGAGCACGGCGGTCAAACAAACAGAACCACACAGAATCAGGAGCTCATTTTCATGCCTGTGGCCAAATAATTCCTCTGTGGCTGTGGAAAAAATATTTCTGTTTTGGCTTAAAAAGTGTAGAACAAATTGTTGTTTTAACCCAGCTGTCAAAAAAATGCAACAGCCAAACAAAAACAGTTTATTTCCAATTTCTTAGGCATTCAAACTATACAGTCTTGGTCAATATAACAGAATATATGTTCTTATGAGGCTTTGAAAGTTACAACTCCACATAAATATTCAAATTACCTTTCATTGAGCCATCATTTTTTGAATATAAAGTGTTTAATTCGTTTAATATACACTGTTAAATAGAATATAGGGAACACATCCTAGATCTGAATGAATGAAATATTCACATTGAATATTTTGTTCTGTAAAAAGTTGAATGTCCTGACAACAAAATCACATAAAATCATCAGTAGAAATCTATTTCATTAACGGGCACCTGCAGCCTCTGGCGCTGACACACACAGCAAACCTTCATGCCACAGCTTGCATTAATGTGCCATCCTGGATGAGCTGAAGTACCTGAGCCACTTGTGTGGGTTGTAGAATCCATCTTATGCTACAACAAGTGTGAAAGCACTAGGGATGCACCAATCCACTTTTTTCACCTCCGATACGATACCGATATTTGAAGTTTGACGTTGGCCAAAACCGATACAAAAAACAGCACTGAATTATTACCTAAAAAAATTGTTTTATTGTGTGAAAAAAAACAACTTGGATCATTCTTCTGTGCATATGATTTGACATCCCTTTTCTAAAAAAAAAAAAAGAAAAACAACCCAAATATAAATGTTATGACTCATTTATTTAACAACTGTGCACAAAATTTCACTTTATTGCTTTGCTTCCATCAAAGTTGGCTGCTTCCCGCTGCTTCCTTCCTTATTACCGAGTCCAATAATCTCTGCATGTTCCCTGTAATGAAATTTCGGGAGGTGTTTCATTAAGTTGATGATGTTATAATTTTAAGATTTAACACCGCCCCTCGGAACATTTCTCCCACAAATATTGCACGTAGCCATTGGGCTAGTAGGCCGACCGTGCGTGAAAAACCTCCACACCACAGATTTTTTCGCTCACTCCATAAAAAATATGTCCGTGTTGTGTTGTTGCGCTGCATGATGGCAGAGCATAACATAGAGTTAGAATGAATAGATCGGCCCCTATATCAGGTCAATTGTCACTGATACCGAGTTTTATTTCTTTATATCTGGACCGATACCGATAAAAATATCAGATCGGTGCATCCCTAGAAAGCACCACCAAAATTAAAACATAACCAAAATATCAGAAAGAAAGCATAGGTACTGAGAAGTGGTCTGTGATCCAGACCTGCTTCACCACTCCTTAATTGAGTGTCTTGCTAATTACCAATAATGTCCACTTGTTGCCTATCCTATTTGCACAACAGCACGTGAAACTGACTGTCAATCAGTATTGCTTCCAAAGTGGACAGTTTGATTTCAGAGAAGTTTGATTTGATTTAATTTATAGTGTGTTGTTTACGTGCTCCCTTTATTTTTTTGAGCATTTGTAAGACATTGACCTTGTAAAATGTTTTATAAGGTCATATGACGGAGCATCATCATCAAGTATCCCGTGGTGTACGTCCTTTCAAATACAAAAACCCAGATCATTGCTTGATACTCAACAGGCTCCATTTCAGACTTGACTGAATTCAAACATCTGTTAATTTAGAAACCGCAATTAGTTCAGAGCTGTTATTTGCCACTTAAATCTATAAAGATTTAAATAATCGCACATACAAATTTCAACTAGATCAAACAACTGGAAGTGTGTTAGGGGCATTACTTATTGAACGCCCCTCGTAAATGCAAAGACATAGAGATAGAAAGTTAGTTGCTATGTATATATTTGCTATGTGATGCATTTTAAGCCTTCTAGGAAGCATTAAAAACATATTAATGATACAGTCCTTTTCTAGGAAAGTTTGTGTTTTTTATACAGTATTTTTTGAGAGTATGATTACTATTCATTTATTGGGGTTTCTTTCTGTTTTTTTTTTTTTTTATCAATCTGCATTTTCAAATGTCAAGAAGAAAAATGTTTGCGATTTGTAAATAGTGAGATCTCTCGGCACAGCACGGTAGAAATAAAAAAGAACAGAAAAAGGCATAAAGTCACTTTGCCCTCTTACTTTAACCTCCTGTCAGTGTGTGTTTGTGGATGTGTGCATGCCTATAGATTTAAAGCCTGTTCAAAGGAGCATAACCCTCTCCAGTGAAAAGTGGCTTTGAGCCCACTGACAGGTGTTAATATGTTATTGTCATCGAAAGGATAGATGGGGTCAGCAGCCAGGATAAAGTCAGCAGCTCACAAAAAGGGCGCTATGTTTTAAGATAGGTTGGTCTATTGAATGCTACTCAAAAAGTATTCATACCCTTTAAACTTTTTTCCATATTTTCCACATTACAAGATAAAACCTCAGGCAACTTTCAGCACATTTCATGCACAAGGCAACTTGATGTGCCTCAAAGCAATACCTACAATACAAACACAATAAAACAAATTAAATCAATAGAAATATATAAAAATACATATTCCCCATAGGGAATGCTAAATAGGCATGTTTTCAACCTGGACTTAATCATAGTTAGGGTTGAGGATTGTTTTACGTCCTAACTGAGGCTGTTCCAGACCTGAAGGATACATTGAAAATGAAATGAGCCTCACCATGTTTAATGGTGACTCTGGGGACCACCAGGAGACCCCTCCCTAAGGATCTCAGTGTCACGGTCTTGGTTCTGTTATGTTTTACTTTGCTCCATGTTTTCTAGTTTTATTGGTTTATTTCCTATTTTGTTGTATTTTCTGGATATATTTGAGCTTTTAGGTTTTTATTTGTTGCCCTCTCCTTTTCCCTAGCTCCTTCCTAGACTGCTCTCTTCACACCTGCTCCCAATCTGCTCGTTAGTCCTCTCTTTGTTCAGTCTACCATAAATACTCTCTTTGTGCAGTTCCTCTGTGCTGGTTCCTCGTCTTTCCTCGTCTTTTCTTGGCTTCTCATGTTTGTTTCCCCTGATGTCTCCAAGGTTCTGTTTTTTTCTGTATTTTTTTTCTGTTGGATTTTTGGATTCCTGCCTCAGTTGCCTGTGAGTACTACAGTAAGTCATTTCATTAAATCTTCAAGAAACTCACCTCTGCCTCCCCACCTCTGGATTTGGGTTCTCAGACCTTGACACTCAAGGCCCTAGATGGTTCATACGGCTATAGCATGTCAGAGATGTACTTTGGTGCTAAACCCTGAAAAGACTTGTAGACATGTAGAGCTTTTTTAAAGTCTATTCTCTAAGCCATAGAGAGCCAGTGCAGACACCGGAGCGTTGGACTAATGTGGTTGTAAATCCTGGTTCTGGTCAGGTCTCGAGCAACAGCATTTTGGATCAACTGTAGTTGTCTAACAGCTCGTTTGAGAAGGCCAGTGAGCAGGTAGTTAAAAAAAGTCTAACCTGTTGGAGACAAACAAATACATGGATTAATCTCTCCAAGTCTGGTTTAGTTAAGTTTTTTAGATGGTAAAAGGCCAGTGATGTAATGGACTTAATATGACTGTTTAAATTCAGGTCTGAGTCCATGATTATGCTGAAATTTCTAACTTGATTTTCTGATTGAGTCAGGGTTTTAATGATCAATTGGACAGTCCACATGAAACATAAAAGGAAGGCTTGAAATAATTTAAGAGTAACCTGCATTAAACTTTGCCAGCAGTTTCATCCTGACCTGTTTATTGTGTTGTCTTCTACAGAACAAAGGTAACTTTCACCTCCCATCTGCTAGAACTGTCTTTTTGTATTATTTATGTTTCAATTTCTAGATCAGTTAATTAAAGAAAATGAAAGCAAAAATCTTGGTGTACGTATAATTTGTATCCTGATAAAGAGTAGGAAAGATGAACTGTTTGATTGTGGGACCTCTTTGTCTCTCTTGAGAAATTCATAATTATTAGCGTCATATTTTTTCTAAAGCGACTGAATAAACAGTTGACAATGCTAGACTAATTACAAATTGTGAAACAACTTTATTACTAAGAGCCAATTATGCTATAAAAACACTGCTAAGAGAAAAAAAGGAAAAAAAACAACAGCTGCAAAATTATGCTTGGTTTCAGTTTATTGGAAAACCTGAGCTCACTCCCCAAATTGAAGCAACATTTCAGTTTAACAATAAAAAACTTAGCAAAGTTAAGCAGCATTGTTTATGATAAAAAATCGATATGGATTTAAACTCTTCTAAAGTAGTATTTTTTTTTTATGAGTTAAAGTTTCTTTTTACTTAAAAGAAAAACAAAAAAACAAAAACAAGCAATTATGTTTAACTGGAAATATCATAGTTGAGGAAAGTTATTTCCTGTAACCATATAAAGTTTTTGAATTTCTTGATTGATTTGGCTAAGAGTAAACAACACAAAAGGTCTTCATGCTGTGAGGCAACAATGGTCACTGCAATTATACAACAGCAGAGCAGCTTTTGTGAATTTATTCCCCAGTCATATGCAAATTATCTCAGTTTGCTGCCTCCAAAAATATAATCTGATCATTGACTCCACACAATGGAACAGTGCTGTAAGGCTGCCTTTCGGATGGCGACTAGATGTTCAGTAGTTTATCTGTGATCATTTTCCTTTCTTTTTCTCTTGTGCTTTGCAGTGGACTGAGGAGTTGTCTTGCTAA